TACCATGTATGGTTTAGTTCTAAATTCATCTCCTAAAATGTTCTATTTATGTCAAATTATTTTTTGATTTTTAAAATCTTAATTTTTTTTTAAAGAAAAATTCAATATTTTAGTTTTGGGTATGGCATCATATTGAAACGATCGTCGGTCCCCTTCGTCGGGCGACACGTTGGTTCAAACATCGGATCCACTTTAAGCCTCAACACAACCGGTGCGTCGAAGAACCTCTTGATTAAACGATGATTTTTTATGACGTTAGCTCCTATCGGATAGGAGACTTTGTCGAAGATTTTAGATACATATTTTTTATGACATCGATCCCTATCATATAGGAGACTTCGTCGAAGTGTTTAGATATAATTTTTTATGACGTCGATCCCTATCGGATATGAGACTTCATTGAAGATTTTAAATACATTTTTTGTGACGTCGATCCCTATAAGATAGAAGACTTCGTCGAAAATTTTAGATATATTTTTTTGTCAAATAATAGTCCCTCTTGGATAGGCGACTTCGTTGAGAACCTTTGTTATTTTATTTTTATTTTTATTTGTTGTTGATAGAAAATCATCATCAATCCCTAAAAATTAGGAGACTCAACAATTGTCTATCCCTTAACTATCTAAACTAATTACGAAATAAAAAAACTATAAAATTTTAATTAACTAAAATCAACTACAATAAATCTTGAGAAATTAAACATATTGAACTATAATTATAGACATGAATATACATAAATAAAAATATTTAAATTGAATTTACTTAAAATAAAATGAATAAATGAAAAAATTTTGGCTTTATTATCAGTGGGTCGGACTTTTTGTCGGTGGCCACTTTTATATTACATGTTTGTTATTGATCGAGTATGGATTGAAATTGCTAGCATGCTTGTTTTCATTTTTAACTCTTCCGTGATGTGGTTGGTGTATAAAATATATTTATATTAAAAGTACTCTCTACCTTTTCTAGCATTGGCTTGTCATCCATTCCATGAAGAGTAGTTCATGAGTGGGAGCTACGATAGACCTATTTTTCATTGGCTTGTCCTTGCCTTTGACTTTGACTTTTTAGGTGATGACTATTACGGTAGGCATGAGGAGTTGAAAGTAAGTTGTTTTTAAAGTATTCAAAAATATCGAGATTAACTCATATTCCAATAATGGAGAATGGATTCGAGCCGCTACCTCACGTCACCTTTGCTCATACTCCTTAATGGTCTTTTTAGCCTTTTTTCCATACCTTGGAGATCCGAAAGATTTGGAGCCACCTCCATGTTAAACTTGTATTGTTTGAGAAAATCATTAGTTAGATCTTTCCATCCTCTAATCTTGGACCCCTCAACTTTATACCAACTCAAGGTCGATCCGCCCAAGCTCTCATGAAAGAAATGTATGAGTAGTTTTTCATTGTGAATAACCTATGCCATCTTGGTACAATATACCTTTAAGTAGGTCATAAGACATTGGATTCTAATATATTTAGCAAAATCTAAGACTTTAAACTTCCTCGGGATTACCATATTAGACACCAAACACATTTCGGAGGCCCTAATTAGATCGTAAGCGTCCTCCCCTCTATCGCTCTTATGCGTTCTTCTAATGCCATGAGTCCGTCTATACTTAGACCTTCGCCTACCCTATAACCATGAGTTTCTTCTTCGCATATTTATAGGGGGCATAGGTGGCATTTGCAAGACTCGTGGGTCTATGGGATAGGCAAATGCCCCAATAGAATGTGAGCATTCAATATGGAAAGTCATTTGGTTGGAAGGCCTAGATCGATTGGGTGATGGAATAGCATGTGGAATTTCAAGTAGTGCCCATCCTTGATTCGAACTACCTCCCCTACTTACTCGCTTGTTCTAACAAGGTTGTCAATCGAGCAACATCTTCTTTCAACGAGTCAAAATCTTATTGACTAATTAGTTCCTGTCGGGCTCTCCTTTCATTCTCCATTTGACAAGTCCCGAATCTAGTGTTCTGGATGTGCGAAGGGAATTGAGACTTTGCGAGCAACTTATGTTTCAAAATCCTACAAAAAAAAACTCGAAAAATATATGTAGAATGAATATACAATATATATATGCATGATTTGAACCAGAGTTAGATACCTTTCTTTGTTTGGTAGCCTCGCAATAGTCAAAGGTTAGAACAAATGTCATTTGAAAATAATTCGTGTCTTAATCAATCAACCCTAGTGGACATGATCTAGCTTTTCTATGGTTTAGGCAAAGCTCGTCTAGTCCCGAAGTTCTTTCAAGTTTTTGAACTATCAAAATTACAAGTGGGGTAATCTAACCTCTAACCTTATACACCGGGAGGTAGAGAAAGGTTATTCCACCATTTTCTATATATAGGGTGAGTTTCGAGTGCAAACGAGAGTCCGAAAGAGCATCACTAGACTTTCATCATACTTGCCTCTAAATCCCTCTATCTAAGTCCTATCGGGGTTTAGCTCGGGTCCGAGCTTTTATAGGTTTCCTTTGTGGTGTGTGTAACAATTCAAAGAAAAAGTATACAACCCAATTCAAAAATAAACATGTAGTGAGAAAATAACTTACAAAAATTTAAATATATACAAAACAATAAATAAATTCAAAAAATAAAATGACAAAAATAAATATAGAAGATAAATTAAAAATTAAACCTATGGCCTAACTCTAGTCCCCAAAGGAGTCGCCATTTTATCGCTACCCGACGTCGGACGCGTACTCCCAAAAAAAATTAAATCTAAGGTGTTAATTGGTATTTACAAGTTTATTTATAGATTTTTGGAGTCGCCACCTAGTATTATGGAACTAGGAACCTAAAAATAGGCAATGGTCCATAGATTCTATGGCAAAGAGTTGGTCATACTTTTGGAAAGATATTTTAATCACCCAAAAGTGCCCCTATAAACAAGGGTACCATGTATGGTTTAGTTCTAAATTCATCTCCTAAAATGTTCTATTTATATCAAATTATTTTTTTGATTTTTAAACTCCTATTTTTATTTTTAAGACAAATTGAATTTTTTTAGTTTTAGGCGTGGCATCGTATTAAAACGATCATCGATCCTCTTCATCGGACGACACATCGGTTCAAACATTGGATCTACTTTAAGCCTCAGCACAACCGATGCATTGAAGGACCTCTTGATTAAACGATGATTTTTGATGACGTCGCCCCTATCGGATAGGAGACTTCGTCAAAGATTTTAGATACATATTTTTTATGACTTCAATCCCTATCGGATAGGAGACTTCGTCGAAGAGTTTAGATATAATTTTTATGATGTCGGTCCCTATCGGATAGGAGACTTCGTCGAAGATTTTAGATACATGTTTTGTGACGTCAATGCCTATCGGATAGGAGACCTTGTTGAAAGTTTTAGATATATTTTTTTGTCAAACGACAATCCCTCTTGGATAGGCGACTTAGTTGAGAACTTTTTTTATTTTATTTTTATTTTTATTTGTTGTTGATAGAAAATCATCATCAATCCCTAAAAATTAGGAGACTCAACAATTGCCTATCTCTTAACTCGTCTAAACTAATTAAGAAATAAAAAAATTCTAAAATTTTAATTAACTAAAATCAATTACAATAAATCTTGAGAAATTAAACATATTGAAATATAATTATATACATGAATAGACACAAATAAAAATATTCAAAGTGAATTTACTTAAAATAAAATGAATTAATGAAAAATTTTGGGCTTTATTGTGAGTGGGTCGGACTTTTTATCAAGTGACCACTTTTATATGCCATGCTTACTATTGATCGAGTATGGATTGAAATTGCTAGCATACTTTTTTTCATTTTTAACTCTTCTATGATGTGATTGGTGTACAAAATATATTTATATTAAAAGTACTCTCTACCTTTTCTAGCATTGGGTTGTCATCCGTTCCATGGAGAGTAGTTCGTGAGTGGGAGCTACGATGAACCCATTTTTCATTGGCTTGTCCCCGCCTTTGACTTCGACTTTTTTAGGTGATGACTCGCCGCAGTAGGCGTGAGGAGCCGGTATCGGGTCTATCATTTAGGATTGCTTAGGATCGTTGGGAATGAAATTTTTTGAGATATGGAGGGTCTTTTGTCGATCTTTCGAGCGAGCTAAAATAGCTTTGGGTGGTGTAGGGATTTTAGGAGAGGGAGGTGGCTTTTTTTTTTTTTTTTTTTTTTAAGAGAAGGGTGGCTTCCGCAAAGAAAAATCCCATCCCCCAAAATGCCCAAAGTATGGGTTTTTATAGATAGTTTTTAGGGTTTTTTTTTTTTGGGCAAAATTTGTTTTAGTCTTTGATTCTTAACAATCCATTAATTTGAGTTTAGTTTTTATTTTTTCTTTCTTTCTTTCTTTCTTTTAAAGAAGCCCAAAATTGGGTTACGACAAGTGTCACATAGATTGCTTAGCTAAGCCATATGGCCGTATACCTTTTTTACTTCATCTCGTGTCTTTTATTGGTTCATCCCATGTAAAAGCCTTCGCCTTGTTCGCACCTAATTTTTTGCTTTTTTTCATTATTTTTATTATTAGTATTAAAAAATACGAAAAAAAAGAAAAGGACAAAAAAGTAGAAAAAATAGAAAAAGAAAAGAGAAGCAATTCAAATAGTCTAGTTTCGATTAATTCTAAAAAAGGAGTCAATTGAAAAAAAAATAAAGAGTTAGAAATAATTAAAAAGGCAATTGAGGGCATAATTGAAAAAAAAATAAAGCTTCAAGTCCTTGTTTAAAATAAAGAGGGGTATAATTGGAACTAATTAAAATAAAAAAATCCTAATTATTTACAATGGAAGGCTTAAATTAAAAAAATAAATAAATTGGGCTCAAATTGGTCAATGGAAGAAAACCAAGGGCCAAGTTAGATTTTTGCCAAAAACACCTAACTATAAAAGCCCCTATGCATTTTTTTAGATCATCTATTGTTCATCAATCCCTTAAAATTCTAACCGACAGCCTCTCCCTCTCACCCACATTGCACCAACCCTCGCCCAAGCTACCCCCCACCGACCATTACACCAACCTCACCCTCACCTTTAGTAGTTTCTCCCCTACCTTACAAAACCACACCGGAAACCCCTTTTGACAACCTTCTTGTATTAGCCCCATCACAACCATTATTAGCATCCATATGCCCACACTACTACCGCCCACACACCAAGCTCCCACGAGCCACACCACCAGTCCTCTACCCACACACATTCCATGCCATAGCTCACCCGTATGCACTAACCAACTTACATTTCCAGTCCATTCATGCCTATATCTAATAGCCTCACTCACACTCATACCACCAGCCCCCGAACCACATTCCCATTTTAGCTCTTACCCACTGTTTAACCGAACTTCACCTACATACCAAGCTCGTAGCCCATCCCATACGTCTACAGCTCCCTCTCGCCCCACTCGGCCTAGTGCATCCAACCTCATTTCTATGAAGTTCCAATCCATATAGACCACAACTAACCTCTCCCTCTTGCCCCACATAGCCCTATCACTCGCCCCCACGCAACCCCCGTCTTACCCATTCTAGCTTTTGCTCATAGCCCTCCCTTTTGCAATCTTTCCAAGCATAAAAACCACCCATTCTAGCCGGTAACTCCATCCCCGAAACCTACCATAAGCAACCAGCATCTCATCCTTGAAACACACCCAAAAATTCCATTTAGACTACGTTGAAAAACTAACTCCGAAGTAGCCCTCTCTCCAACTAGCCGACCTTTTTCTCACACTTGCCAACCCCATTACAATCCCTATTTCAACCCCCTAATACGTCATAATAGCCGTCTCCCACTCTAACCCGGAAAAATCCCTAAAATACCCAAAACACTTACTTGAAACACACTAAAATACTCTAAAACTAACCCTAAAATAGTCACCAATAGCCCCTAAAAAGCCTCTTTCGACAACCCCCATAAACCACCAAAATAGCTACTAAAAAATCCCCAAGACAACTTTAAGATACCCCTAAAACACCCCTAAAAACCGACCAAAATAACCATAAAACCTCCCTTAAAATAGCCCCCTGGACACTTTTTTGAGTTATTGAAAAAGGAAAAAAGAAAAAGAAAAAAACAAATGAAAAAGAAAGAATAAATTTTTTTTCTTATGTTGGTAGGAAGAACATGATGTTGTAAACTATGTTTGCTTGATTTTTGACAGGAAAATAAGTAGCAAAATCCACTTTGAGCTATCGGGAACCCTATAACTCTATAGTAGTAACGTTGAAAATTTTGTAGCCAAGTAAAAGAGGAGTTTTTGCCCACTTTAGTGGTACTCACACCCCATATTGCCCACCACCGGTTACTCTCCATTCTCGGCTATTATCATTATAAGCGAAGAGGTTAAGACCGACTCTAAGTCGAACACCAAAATTTTAGGACTATTGGGTAAAAATCCTAAAATCATAACACTTTTGAAAATATAATAAAGGCTAAAAATGACTGATGTGTTTGGAATGTGATTAAATTATGATTTTTGGCTTAAAATTTATGAATTAAATATGATTAAAATGAAATATTACTCGTAATAAGCTGATGAATGTCCTATTTTCTTATTTTCTTGCCTATCTATTTGAGTCACAAAGTTTATGCCATTTCGTTGTTTAATTGACTCTTTATGGTTAGCTACAATGATAAGATAAAGTTGTCGGTGGTTCCCACTTATGTGACGAAGCCATCGATGGTTTCAAAATCATTTTGTCTACTTGCGTCATCCTTGTTTTTCTTATTTTTTTTTACTATTTTCTAATTTCTATTTTTGATGTTTTATTGCCTATTTCATTAAAATGAAGTTATTGGTAACTCTCACTTATGTAATGAAGTTGTTGGAGGGCTTTGAAATAATTTTAACGATTTTTATACTCGATTCTTGTTTTGTAGCACTCGTTTTCCCCGTTTCTCATTTTCGATCCTAGATTACTATTTTTTATGTTTTCTATGTTCTATTTCTTATTTCATCAAAACAAAGCTATCGATGGCTTCTTACTTGTGTGATGAAGTCGTCGGAGGGTTTCGAAATAATTTTTATTTAATGTATGTTTTTTTAAATGAAGTCGCCTATGGCTTCTTACTTATGTGACAAAGCCGCTATTGGCTTTTGAAATAGTTATCTACTCCTCACTCAAGTGATATAAAGTTATCGGTGAGTTTTCACTTATGTGATGAAGTTGTCGGTAACTTCTTAAATGCATGATGCAAAACCATCGTTGTCTTCCCATTTGTGTGAATGAAGTTGTCGGTGACTCATGACTCATACTAATAAAAGGCTATATGCCTTTAGAAACTCACCTATTTATTGATGATTGATGATAAGTCATGTTCATTAGTGCTTAACCGAAATTCTAATTTTCCCACTTTTCCCTCTTTGGGTAGGGAGTATTAGTCTTAGATCGACTTGAACGCTCAAATTACTTTGTTTTACACCCAAACCATCCTATCTCATATTTTTACAAAATAAATTCATTTAAATAAGCATAGAAGTATAACACAATAAAGACCAAATTTTTATATTCGTATGCAAACAATACAACCTACCTTAGGTAGGACAAGATGGATGTGATGTCGCATCTTTTCCATACATAATCGATTCCTTACCTAGATATCTACGTAGACCAAGATATTTAGGATTTTTTAGTTTTCCTTAATTAGTTAGGTGGTGACTCCTTGTTTTGGCCCTCCTCTTATGGTATGACTCTACTAGGACTTTTAACTTTAAGGTCAAGCTTTGAATGTGTGTGTTTTGAATCTCTAATCTTTTTTTATAACTCTATGCCTTTTTGTTTTAAGTGAATAATTTCCGTTTATTCATTTGTCTATTTTTTTATGGTGAAAACATATCCGTATATATGTGTGTTATTTGTGTTTTTTTTTTCCTACGAGCTTTGGCTATTTAATTTTTAGCCTTTTATTTCATACTTCGAGGCTGGACTTGCGCCCACACACACTACACTATATAATTATAACTATCATTCACATTTGCCTCGGGATCTAGGGAGTTAATAGTGGTGCCCCAATAGGTTTCACCCCAAATACACACTCTTGAAACCTCAAGCCTTCTTGCTAGTCGCCATCGGTAATAGCTAATCGATGATTTTTCACAATTGCTATTATCACCATGGAAAATCCTAGTGACTCTACTAAAGACTCACTAGGTCGGAAGGTATCCTTTTGAGACCTAGATAGAGCCTACCCTTCATATAATGGTTAGAATCGAACTCTAGGAGCATCTCTCCTTGTTTAATACATGGGGTCGATCGGACATGTTGGAAACATTGACTAAAGTAATTTTATCATGATGTTTCGGGATGGGTGACGAAAAAGCTCCAAGTACATTTCAAATCGGAATCAATCTTCCAAATAGAATCCGAAACCATTCAACAAGTAGAGAAAGATTACCTTCAAAAAAGATTTCGGAGTAACCATTAGTCGATAACTAAACTACAAGCAATGATCAATGAAACTAAAAAGCTCTTTGAATGCCGAGAACTCTCGACTACCGATGACAAATGATGTTCAAGCATAAATATGAAAACTTAGTTGCATTAATAGAGATAATGGTTCAAAGGCATATGCCGAGGGCTATCATCTCTCCGAGGGACCCTTCATATCGATGCTTTACCATAGGAAACATAAACATGACTCCTACAATAGAGGAGTATCACTAGTTGCTACAAATGTAAAATCCTCCATATCAAGTCTACCTCCACCACCAACGTGATGAGTGATTGATAGCGTCGAAAGGTGGTTGAATGTAAGTGTAAGTCGAGCATGAGCCAAAGTTGCTACCGAGGGATCTCATCATGAGATCTTACTAAACACATTCAAATAAAGCTTAAGAGTGCCCATATTCGAAGAAATTTTGAGTTTTAGCTTTGTATATCTTTAGTCCGATTTTATTTCCATCCTCTACTCGGTTTGATTAGTCCGGATGCCGTAAATTTTTTCATTAAAGCAAAAAAGAACTCGGTTACCCCCACTATTATAATTTTAACTAAGACTATCCTATCACCGAATCATTGTCGAAGATCTAGTAAAAGTGGGATGAGATGTTGTGTGCAATTGCTATGTGTATGGATGTTTAGTCATATAAGAATATATAGATAATTCTTTGACTCTATTTGATGGAAGGATCAAGAATTACTAAAGAAGTTTGTAACCATATCATGGAAGAGCTATACTCGAATAAGAATTAAGAGCCTACCAAATTCTTAATTCCCGTGGAAGGCCGTCTAGATGAATCGAGCATCGTATTTGGCTTATTGTGGAACATTTCCTTGGGTCCCCCTAGTTGGATCTATAAGATATGTTAGTTATACTCCAAGTATGGTGTCTAGGCAACTTGGCTATGAGCAAGGCATTCCGAGAACGATGGGTTTGGTTGAATTTGAAGGAAACTTAAAAAAGAGGCTTCACTTGTTTTTCTAAGTCGTATCATCGAAGATTTGTTAGCACATGGTATGGTGGGTGGCAAAATAAATGATCATAAGATAGCCACTACCGAAGCTTATCCACATGGCAAGTTGAGAGGGTAAAAGACTTGGGTCATCAAGTAAACTAGAGTCAAGATGGATAAGTTTCAATACATGATCACCTAACTAGTCTAGATCTCTCAATCCCTATCGGGGTTAGAGATCTCTAACCCCAATAAGGATTCGAGGGATCTAGACTAGTTAGCAACTTATCTTAAGTTAGTAATGAGTGAGGCCAAAACCCGACTATGCTAGATAATCAAGCAAAAGAGGATTCCAAATAAGTTATATCTCTATGAGAGCTAAGCCCGGACATCAGTAAGCATAGGGTGAATAATTATAATGAATCCGTAAGGGACTATCCGAGGAGATGTGACTTCTTACTATTTAAAATGGCTAGATGAGAGAAGATCTTTGAAGTATGATTAAGTTGTCTAGTAGTTTGCTCATTTTGCTTGTATTTCATCTTTAGTAGTATGAGTTGCATTTTCTTTTTATTATGTGAAAGAAAGATGTACTATGAAATATCTTAGGGCCTACATGCTCATCATTTTGAATATTTAGTTAATGAAAGCTTCAACATCTTTTTATATATGGTGTTATCTATCATGCTTATTGGAACTCACCTGCCAAGTTAGGCAACCGACCTTACTTAATGATCACATCAATAAATGATATCGACGTACACTTTATAACAAAGTGACTCCACTCGCTTAAGAATTCAATAACCAGATGGCTACTTTAAAATTAAATGAAAGAAAGAAATCTAACGGCTACCGATGTGAATAAATACATCATTAAACCAACTATAAGCAATTTTATCGAAAAAAAAAAGAAGAAAACAAGCTCTTTTGTCACCCTCCATAGATGGCTACTCCATATCCAAGTCTTGAATATCTTTTATATTATAAATATGTTATTCATGTGTTGTATTTTATTGTTTCTTTTTTGTGTAGAAACATAGGTCTTGTTGGTAAAACCACACTTCTCCTACAATTTACAAGACTAGAATGAAAGT